TACTCTACTACTACCACTACTACTACTACTACTACTACTACTACTACTACTACTACTACTACTACTACTACTAACTACTACCACTACTATTACCACTACTATTACTACTACTACTACTACTACTACGACTACTACTACTACTACTACTACTACTACTACTACTACTACTCTACTACTGCTACTACTACTACTACTACTACCACTACTATCACTACTACTACTACTACTACGACTACTACTACTACTACTACCACTACTATCACTACTACAACTACCACTACTACTACTACTACTGCTACTACTACTACTACAGAATTTAAATTTTTTTTGATCCTGAATTAATTTTTTTTTGATCCCTTAGCCCTTTGTCACCCGACCTTTCTTCTTCAACACCCTCGGCCCGGGTGAAACCTCCGAAGCCAAACATCCACCCTAAACCAGTCCCACCTGAAGCCAACCCTAGTCCCACTTTACACCTACCCTAAGCCAGCCAGAAACCCACCCGTTTACAACCGCGGGTTTAGAATTCCCCCCCCCCCCCCACACCCCTTTGAAAATTTCGTTTGCAAGCCAGACCCATTTGGTTGAATCACAAAGCAACACCAGGATCATCGCTTTGGACGCTGCTGGAATGGTTTGGGTGATGGAGCTCTGAGCCGTGACTGCCCCGCGGCCTTTGCAAAGGCGACCATTCGACTCCGCAAAATGCCAACGCCACGCCCATTGCTTTCTCAGCAAATAAAGCCCCAGGTCGAACGGGGATTCTACATCCCTAGGAGGTCTCACATGTTTCAGCATGGCCAAAGTGCACGAACGTTTGGATTCCCGCGGCTTTGCCTGTTCCTGGACGGAGAAAAGGAGGTTTCGAGCGAATCGTTTTCTGGCAAAATGCGGGGAAAGGCACACATCTAGAGGCCCCCTTCACGGTGTCCTTGGAACGGCAACGCTGGTTTCAGATTAGTTCTAACCGCTTTCATTTGCTTAATAATATGTAATTTTCTCTGTTGGGTTTAAAGTTAATATATCACTATTGGAAGCATTCGTATTTTTTCCAGGGAGCTTAAGCAAATGGAGATCATCAACCTTCCTCCAATCATGGAATCTGACAAGCGGGATTTGTTTGACGACTTTCCTGGGGAAGCCGCTGATCGACATTTTCGAGGGTAATTGCCAGAGCCAGGTGTTGTTTCCTTCGCTGGACACGGCCCCTTCAGAAGATTTATTTGACTGTACGGTTGGTCACACGAACGCTTGGCATTTTGCCTTTCAGAGAGCTGGCCATTTACGTGCTCCTTAGCCAATCCTTTCTTTTCAGAAGGACACGCTGTTGGTTCGAAGAGACTGCTGGCTTTGCTTGAGGACTGCACTGTTTCAGGCTCTTTCTTGGAATGAACTCTCCGCTTTTGTGAGTTTGCTTCACGTTTGTTTCCTCGGTGGCTTTGGACTCGCGTCCCATGAGCCAACCTGGATGGTGTTGGCTGATCCACGCCTCGCTTCTGAAGCTGAAGCTTTGCGTTTTCCCGGCTTTGGGCCGATGGTGTGGTAATAAATCCTTACCCCGTTAAAAGCTTCTTGTGTTTTCCCAAACCCCAGACATAATCCAATACTGAACTGGTACCAAACCAGTACTAAACCTATGCTAGACACGTATGTACAAAGGCAGTATTCCGCCCTTTTGCAACCAGTGCTGAAGCAATAATGAACCGATTCGGGACCGGTACAATTGCTAAAGCATGTCTTTGGTTCCTGCCGTGAACCACGTTGCTATGTGAATGCTGTTTAAGCCCAGAAGCAGGTGGATCCCATTTGGATGAAGGCCGACAGGACTGAAGAGGACCGAAATTCCACATGCTGAACGGGCTCTCTATTCGCAAGAGATGTTTGTCCCTTTAAAACCATCGCGCAAAGGGGTACCCTTCCTTCCACAAGCGTAGCATTTGTGAGAGCGTTCCTGGAAGATCAGTTTCCTCGAGCAAGGCTTCAAGGACCCTTTGTCAGGTGCCATGTTCGCGGACATGGAGCTAATTACCGACTTTAGACAAGGCATACCTGAACCCTCAAACTACCCAACAAAAAAGGGGATCCCCCCCGTAAGTTTGAGGCCAGAACTCCTTTGTATACGCCCTAGAAACCGCACATCATCAGGTCTTGGGCTCCTAGCATGCTTGTTGTTAGGACACATTTTACATTTTTGCTTATTGCGGTTGAGTGGTTGAAATCCAACCACTTAACTGCCAAAATTTTCACATTTCTCACTTAACTGCCAAAATTGTCATTTCCCCACTTAACTGCTAAGATTTACGTTTCCCCACTTAACTGCTACAATTTACGTGTCCCCACTTAACTGCTAACATTTTCACATTTCTCACTTAACTGCTAAAATATTTGTTTCCCCCACTTGACTGCTAAAATTTACGTTTCCCCACTTAACCGCTAAAGTCTTCACATTTCCCCACTAAACTGCTAAAATTTACATGTCCCCACTTAAGTGCTAAAAAAATACGTTTCCCCACTTAACCGCTAAAGTCTTCACATTTCCCCACTTAACTGCTAATTTTTTTTTTCCCCCACTTGACTGCTAAAATTTACGTTTCCCCACTTAACCGCTAAAGTCTTCACATTTCCCCACTTAACTGCTAAAATTTACATTTCCCCACTTGACTGCTAAAATTTACGTTTCTCCACTGAACCGCTAAAGTCTTCACATTTCCCCACTTAACTTCTAAAATTTGCATTTCCCCACTTGACTGCTAAAATATACATTTCCCCACTTAACCGCTAAAGTCTTCACATTTCCCCACTTAACTGCTAAAATTTACATTTCCCCACTTGACTGCTAAAATTTACATTTCCCCACTGAACCGCTAAAGTCTTCACATTTCCCCACTTGACTGCTAAGATTTACGTTTCCCCACTTGACTGCATGTCCCCACTTAAGTGCTAAGAAATACGTTTCCCCACTTAACCGCTGAAGTCTTCACATTTCCCCACTTAACCGCTAACGTCTTCACATTTCCCCACTTGACTGCTAAAATTTACATTTCCCCACTTAACCGCTAACGTCTTCACATTTCCCCACTTAACTGCTAAAATTTACATTTCCCCACTTAACTGCTAAAATTTACGTTTCCCCACTTGACTGCTAAAACTTACGTTTCCCCACTTACCCGCTAAAGTCTTCACATTTCCCCACTTAACTGCTATTTTTATTTTTTTTCCCCACTTGACTGCTAAAATTTACGTTTCCCCACTTAACCGCTAAAGTCTTCACATTTCCCCACTTAACTGCTAAAATTTACATTTCCCCACTTGACTGCTAAAATTTACGTTTCCCCACTGAACCGCTAAAGTCTTCACATTTCCCCACTTAACTGCTAAAATTCACATTTCCCCACTTGACTGCTCTAATTTACGTTTCCCCATTTAGCCGCCAAAGTCTTCACATTTCCCCACTTAACTGTTAAAATATTCATTTTCCCACTTAAGTGCTAAAATTTATGTTTCCCCACTTGACTGCTAAAATTGTTGTTTCCCCACTTAACCGCTAAAGTCTTCACAATTCCCCACTTAACTGCTAAAATGTTCATTTCCCACTTGACTGCTAAAATATACATTTCCCCACTTAACCGCTAAAGTCTTCACATTTCCCCACTTAACTGCTAAAATTTACATTTCCCCACTTGACTGCTAAAATTTACATTTCCCCACTGAACCGCTAAAGTCTTCACATTTCCCCACTTAACTGCTAAAATTGTTGTTTCCCCACTTAACCGCTAAAGTCTTCACAATTCCCCACTTGACTGCTAAGATTTACGTTTCCCCACTTGACTGCTAAAATTTACGTTTCCCCACTTAACCGCTAAAGTCTTCACAATTCCCCACTTAACTGCTAAAAATTACATTTCCCCACTTGGCTGCTAAAATTTACGTTTCCCCACTTAGCCGCTAAAGTCTTCACAATTCCCCACTTGACTGCTAAGATTTACGTTTCCCCACTTGACTGCTAAACTTTACGTTTTCCCACTTAACCGCTAAAGTCTTCACAATTCCCCACTTGACTGCCAAGATTTACGTTTCCCCACTTGACTGCTAAAATTTACGTTTCCCCACTTAGCCGCTAAAGTCTTCACAATTCCCCACTTGACTGCTAAGATTTACGTTTCCCCACTTGACTGCTAAAATTACGTTTCCCCACTTAGCCGCTAAAGCCTTCACAATTCCCCACTTGACTGCTAAGATTTACGTTTCCCCACTCAGCCGCTAAAGTCTTCACAATTCCCCACTTGACTGCTAAGATTTACGTTTTCCCACTTGACTGCTAAAATTTACGTTTCCCCACTTAGCCGCTAAAGTCTTCACAATTCCCCACTTGACTGCTAAGATTTACGTTTCCCCACTTGACTGCTAAAATTTACGTTTCCCCACTTAGCCGCTAAAGTCTTCACAATTCCCCACTTGACTGCTAAGATTTACGTTTCCCCACTTGACTGCTAAATTTACGTTCCCCACTTGACTGCTAAAATTTACGTTTCCCCACTTAGCCGCTAAAGTCTTCACAATTCCCCACTTGACTGCTAAGATTTACGTTTCCCCACTTGACTGCTAAAAATTACGTTTCCCCACTTAGCCGCTAAAGTCTTCACAATTACAATTCCCCACTTGACTGCTAAGATTTACGTTTCCCCACTTGACTGCTAAAATTTACGTTTCCCCACTTAGCCACTAAAGTCTTCACAATTCCCCACTTGACTGCTAAGATTTACGTTCCCCACTTGACTGCTAAAATTTACGTTTCCCCACTTAGCCGCTAAAGTCTTCACAATTCCCCACTTGACTGCTAAGATTTACGTTTCCCCACTTGACTGCTAAAATTTACGTTTCCCCACTTAGCCGCTAAAGTCTTCACAATTCCCCACTTGACTGCTAAAAAAATACGTTTCCCCACTCAGCCGCTATTATTATTTTTGTTGTGGGACGGGATATTTGGGCCACGTCGCGAGGTGAGTCCCGCCTCATGCAGGGGTCGCCTGGGCGGCTGGGCGCCCTTCATCGGCACCAGCGGGATCTTGGTGTCCTACGTCGTGCCGAGCCCTCAGCGAGAAAGGGGCGGGGAACGGGGCGGCAAGGGCCGGGGCGGGGGGCGGCGGGGGGGGGAGTTTTGGTTTCAAGTCATCCAAAACCCGAAGTGAAGGGACAGCAACCCATAGATTGATTGGGCTGATAGGGAGATCTGGGCTTTTTATTCAGTCCCAAGGCTTCCCTTGAGAATGAGCGCGAGAGATGTCACATGTGACGTGTCTATTTAGCCCTATGATGTCCTCTGATTCCTCCCTGACTTATTCAGTTCGCGATACAGCCGGCAGCCACGCCAACCAGCGCTGGATTTTCCACTGAACACGTTACAAGTCAAGCTCCACTATCTCCACTGAAGCGTGGTACATTTGTCATGTAGATGTCCGGCCTTCATGGCAGTGTCTAAAGGCCTGCTGTTCCCAGGGAAACTCTTGCAAGCCATCGCAATTGGGGAGAGCCCGTTTCATCAGGGATCAGATCAGATTGGCAGAGAAGCACAGAGGCTGCTGCCACAGCGCCTTCTTGTTTTTCTTGTGATGCGGTATTCACGGAAGACTACAGCAAAAGCCAGGCGCAAGCATTTGTTGGCTAACATACTGAATTAGGAGCAACACGAGGTAACAGGTAGGAACACCCCAAAAATGAGGTACAGTGTCATGAATCGGTGGAGAGGACGAACACATGCACTTGGAATTCGAGGTCAATGAACCCAAATCGGTTCAGGCTTGGAGAACGAGGTGGGAACACCCCACCATTCAAACCTGTAGAATATAAGTGCCGTAGATTACATAGATACATATATATATATATATACACAATAATAATATATATATATATATATATACATATATATATATATACATTGTATATGTCTACATAAGACCTACGTACGTGCACATACACACGTACCTACGTTCGCATGGATACATAAGGAAAAGCGCATAAACGCAAAACCGCACAAGCACGAATACACACAACCCACATACTCACAACCTGCATACATACATACATACATACATGCATGCATGCATGCATCCACACATACATACATACATACATACATACGTACACACACATACATATATACATCCATACCTCCGTACCTCCATTTATCCAGATGGGTATGTACATAAATAGATAGATACATAGGTACATAGATACATACATACATAGATACATGCATACATACGTACATACATGCATACATACATACATACATACATACGTAAATACGTACATACATACAACAATACATACATGCATGCATGCATACATACATACATACAAACTACATACACACGCATACAGGCAGGCATGCATACATGTGTGCATACATGCGTGCATACATACATACTCATACATACAGAGATACACAGAGACATACCTACACCGATGCAACTGTTTCTCCAACAATCATAGTCGGCCCCCCAAAAAAAAACAATAAACAAGAAACCTAGACCATGTAAGCATCGCCTGCGAATTACACAGGAGCTGCCATGTAAGCGGTGCCCCGGGTCAAAAAACACAAAACAGCACTCAGGAAAAATACAACTGACGGCCGGTCTTTCTAGGGAATGGGAGTTGTGTGTCGAAAGCGGTATGAGGTCTAGGCTACAAGCTACAGTATAGGCTTTGGTTTGGGTCGGTCCACGGTTGCTGCAAGAGTGCCACGTTAGTGTAAGTAACCTCTGTTTTCATTAACCGAGCATGTCTTGTTGCAGGAGTGCCACGTTAGTCTACACTGTATTTGATGTCTTGATGCGGGAGTGCCAAACCCGATGCAATCCATAAGGTTCCGCTCAAAGTACACCAAATGGAAAGAGGACACACCTTGATTTCTGCTTCAAGTCCTTCTCGGAAAATCGGTCCTTTGAAGCGGTTTTCCGTGCGGGTGGCATGTGCTGGGATGCTGTTGATTGGCGCGAAAATTAAATGATAATGTCACACACATCATAGGAAAGCTGACGAACATGGCATACCGAGGACAAGTTTGCATCGTTTGCCACGCTTGAATCAATCATTCATACTAGCACTGCATGCCAACGTTCACCGGGGATTGCCAGTACGCGATGCCCTGGCACGAACCGAAATGTTGCTTGGCGCAGTCCGATTATGCTAGTGCAAAGATGTTGCAGGTGCACTTCCATGTAAGACCCGAACTTCCATACATACATACATACGTGCATGTATGACATACATACATACAGACATCCATCCATCCATCCATCCATCCATCCATCCATCCATCCATCCATCCATCCATCCATCCATCCATCCATCCATCCATCCATCCATCCATCCATCCATCCATCCATCCATCCATCCATCCATCCATCCATCCATCCATCCATCCATCCATCCATCCATCCATCCATCATCCACACATACAAACATGTATACATGCATGCATACATGCATCCATCCATCCATCCATCCATCCATCCATGCATCCATCCATACATACATACATACAGGCATACATACATGCGTACATGCATGCATGCATGCATACATACATACATACAGGCATACAGGCATACAGGCGTACAGACATACAGACATAGATGACATACAGACATACAGCCATACAGACAGACAGACAGACAGACAGAGACAGACAGACAGACAGACAGACAGACAGACAGACAGGCAGACACGCAGACACACAGACATACGTACATACGTACATCCACTACATGCATGCCTTTATGCTGCATGCATCCGTACAAACAGACAGGCAGACGGACATACATGCATAATCAAAAACAAACACACTCGCAGTTCGCAGACACACACAGTCACACACACACACACACCTTCACATTCATACCCACATCTACATGTACGTAATACACACACACTCGCACACACACAGACATACGTACATACGTACATCCACTACATGCATGCCTTTATGCTGCATGCATCCGTACAAACAGACAGGCAGACGGACATATACATTAATCAAAAACAAACGTAATACTCGCAGTTCGCAGACACACACAGTCACACACACACACACCTTCACATTCATACCCACATCTACATGTACGCAATACACACACACACACACTCGCACACACACACACACAGACACACACACACAGACACACGCACATGCACTTACAGACTCCAACACGACCACAAACACACTGATATGTCGTATGACAGACTAGTTTTTGGTGGATAGCAAAATGTTTGTTTCTGACAAGGGAGCAGACCAACACGAATTCACGCGCCTGGGATGGTCCATGCTTGTTCTTCCAGGCGTCAATTGTTAATGAACTGCCACGTTTGCCGGAATAACATCCATCGAACTTACCCAATCCTAGCCATGTTTATGGTTCTATGTTTTACCGTCGTCCCTCGAAAGGGTACCGTATACTTGACGAAGCAGAACTGGCGACTCTGGACTTATGCAGAGGAACATCTTGACAAACCCAGGCAAGCCGGCAAACCCCAAATAGATGAGAGACACCCAAGAAAACCTCGAGAAAACAAGACACAACATGCATCGGGAACTCCTTGCAAAAAGCTGAAGTTGAAAGAGTTTTGGAAACATGTAAGATGTGATTTGTCCGCTTTTGGGGGGGTTCACGTGCTTTTTCATAGCTCACAGACCAAATATATGTTTCTCGGCGCGCCGCCAAGGTCCTCCTCACTACAGCCCTTGCCAATGCAAGCGTGGCGGGTGCAGTTCGGCCTCGGCGCCGCCTGGACTCGGTCGGGCTAAATCATGGGTTTCGTGCTCGGGTGGGGCGAGGGGCCAAGTAGTTTTCGCAGGTTTGCTTCTGACAATGTCTCAGTTGTAGTGGTAAAGTGCAGCGCCACTTGCAATTTGTGTTATGTTCTTCTTCTTCTTCTTTTTTCCGCGGCACATTTCTGGCTTACAACGGGCTCCCCTTTTTGCCCGTGGCCGGTGGTAACTTTGGTCTGAAGAACACACACGACATATCCTTGAAGCATCTGAAAGACATGGCCACTAGGCTGGCACCGGTACGAACGTGGAAGTCGGAAGCTCATGAACATGTATGAAAACACCGCGCCATACTTTCGTCTTGGGCTCGGAGGGATTGACCGTGCTCCGTGTGAACAAAAGACACACATGCAAGTCACAAGCGGGCCTTGGAAAGCTTGCAAAAAACAAAGCACGTGCTTTGCGTTCAACTGCAACTTCGTTAGGCCCCAAGACGAGCAATTGGCACTGTCCCCAAGCAGCAATTGGTGAATATGTACATGTTTGGAATCTACCAACATCAGGACCGGTTTTTGCAAAGAGCCATGCCTTGTTTGGCCGGACATGACTTTTACTTGTTCTCAACTTGGGCAGGTGTCAGTGTCGCGCCATGCTCATCTAACTCCCTCATGTGTTGCTGTGTTTATTGTATGGTGTGAGCTGGGAGAGGTTATTTTACGGATACCTTATGTGTTTCATCTTCAGACTAAATGCGGAATTAAATTAGTTAATGTGTATGTTTGCGCTTCGTGTAATGCAGGTGCCTAATTGTTTTTCTTGTTGCACCCCAGTTTCGCGTTATTTTCACAGCATCCACCCCGGCTTTTCCGGGTCCGGTTTGTGGGGTGTGTCTTTTTGAGGATGAACCTTTTTATGAACAAAGGTGTCCCTACGTAACCAAACCCAGCGGGCCACCGAAAAGAAGCCTGGGTGTTTTTTTGTTTAAGATACCCCCCTAAATGGTCATGTGCCTTCTCCTTTAAACCAGCCCCAAAAGGGGTTTCGAGCCTCAGAAAAGGGCATATCCACTTGAATATCCCCTAAATGACCATGGGTAACTTTCCCATTTGGTGAATGTCAAGTCGTTGTTGGCGGTTTGCCTAGTGGTCACCTCATGTATCACGGGCCGTTTGATCAACCCCCGTTTGTTCCTGACGGGGACATCAAGGCATTGCCAGCAGCGCTGCAGCTGTTGCTGAGCCGCAACCTGCCGGAGACTCCCAGGCGATTCGGGTGAGGGAGTGGGAAAGCGGCGAGGTGGTTGAATCTATATATAGGTTTGTTGTTTGGTGTTCAAGGGGCACTAACAGGAAAACCACTTTTTTGGGGGGGACCCCCTAAAAAGGACACACTCACATCGGTTTGCCTTCAACATTGGAATTGAAATGTTGATTTGTTCACTGGCATTTTGTAGCAAACCTAGTAAGGCTACTTTCAAAGTACAGCTGCATGTGTGGACCGCTTCCATTTGCACAAGTGAGTCACAGGTGAATCTTCACAAACTGACATGATTCAAAATTTGAAACCACAATTTTGAAAGTCATAATTTCTTTGCAACGGGGCCTTCAGCATGGAGCAGCTCGTTTTGCCCTCGTTGGGTGATCTTATTTGTGAAATGGTCTGGTTTTGTCTCACGGGGAGACCCCCAAACTGGGTCCACAAGTGGCAAATGTGTTGGCACCCACCAGTAAACTGCAACTCTTGAAGGGGAAATCCAATGACCCCCGTAATTTGTTGCCTGGCTGCTTGGCTGTTCAAATGTCTTGGATGGCTGGTCCTTGGTTCCTTGATTAGCAACCCCCAGTTATGCATCAGGGGGTGCGGAGTTCAGGAAAGGAATCCTCAAACGACTAACATGCAATGCGCTAGTGATACTTGGCTTGGGGTTTTAATCAGGAGGCATATAAAGATGTGTTGCTATTGCACACCTCTCGTGTTCGCCGGCAGTTATGATTGATTTGTGTCTCCCGATTGTCAGTCATCCCATAGTTCAAGTCGTTCAAACACAGCCACGGACGATTCAGGGGTCGACATCAAATGCCGAAGGTCGAGATGACTTGGTGCAGATTCATCCAACTAGCTTCCTGGGGTTCGTTCCAAAGGTTCGGGTGAGCTCTGAAAAAATGCAGGTCCCAGGAGAGAACTCGGTTCAAGGTGACAAAATCGGACACTTTGAGTCCCATTCTTCCATGGATAGGTTCCAGAATCATTTTACACATTCCAAATATGGGTATGGATCAAAGTTAAGCCACCAGGGGACCGCAGGTAGTCTTTTTGTTTCCATTTACCAGCGCAACCCATTTTGGGGTGGCCCTTGTTTTGACCCACCCCCAACTGCGGAACATGGAGAGTCAAATCACATGCCACGGTTCTTCGGCTCCGACACGGGAGGTGGCTGCTGTCCCAGCGCCGCAGTGAGGAGGCCAAGGGCTGCCTGCAGCGGCTTTTCCCGGAGGCGGTGAGCGGATTGGGGGATTGGGGGTCGGATTGGATCGCCGGTTTGTGGGTTGGTGGGTTGGTGCGTTGGTGGGTTGGTGGGTTGGTGCGTTGGTGGGTTGGTGCGTTGGTGGGTTGGTGGGTTGGTGGGTTGGTGGGTTGGTGGGTGGGTTGGTGGATTGGTGGGTGGGTTGGTCGGTCGGTCGGTCGGTCGGTCGGTGGTTTTGGTTGAGCTGGCTTGGCTTGGTTTGGGTGTTGGTCATTTGTTTGTTTAATACGGTGGTGTTTGTGGGGTTGGCTTTTTTGGTGGTTGGTTGGATTGTGGGTCCGGTTGGCTGGCTGGTTGGCTAATTGCTATGTAATGTTGCTTTCTAGGTGGCATGGTTGCTTGGTTGTTTTGGTTGCTTGTCTTCTTGGTGACTGGATGATTAATCTGAGTGCTTTGCATTGGGCACTTCATTCGTCAAGATGCTCTGGTGTGCGGATGTTCAATCCAGTCCATTTCATCAGAAATCCTCACGTAAAAGGATGGCTCTGGGAACAAATAAGTGTTGTGGGTTGCATGCGTTCCTGAAAGGTTGCTATGACCAATGATTGTTTCTATGGAGAGTTCTCATGCCTGGTTTCGGCAAAAGCATGGATATGGTCCTAAATTTCTTTTAGTTGGTATGTACTTTTGCTGCAACAGCTTTTCTGAGCAGCTCGGTACAGGATGCAGAATTAGGCGGGCCTGTCGCATTGTGTTTTTCGTTCTGCGTTTCCCGGCATTTGTTTGAGCGGATTTGATCGATAGCGGGCGATCATTTACAAGCCACCACACTGGGCAGCCAATGGACACCAAGGTGAATGTCCAACGTGTTGCAAATAGATACCGTGTCTTCTTAGTTGACGCTGCTTTCTGGCTGGCTGCGCCGCAAGCTTTAGGTTGTTTGCCGTGTGGAGCTTGTTTACTTGAGGCATGAGCCATGTCTCGGTTTCTACCCTAGCAGGCGGCCGAGAGCGCCCTTGACCAGGAACTAGCACGACTTGAGGCGACTCGGCGCCTTGAGTCTGTTGTTCTTGTTTACGGGAATTTGAGTTTGCAGTTGCAAGCCTTTGCTGAAAGGTCCGCGTCTTCAGCGGGCCCTGCCTCTGAAGAGGTCTTGTTTGTAGAGTTGTTTAGTTTCCATGTCAAACAACCTGAGATGCATGCCTGCACATGAGGACAACTAGGCTTGAATGTGTGGAGTGAAGTCAGCTAGGAGATCTGGGCAAATGTGGAAGGCGCTGCTCTACTTGCTTCTATACCTGTTTTGCATGTTCAGTATTGACATGATGGAGGAGCATGCTGTTGCACAGTTCTTCAAAGGCATCATGGAAGTGGAAGGATGCCATGTCACGTGCATGGTGGTCTTTCAAGCCCTTTTGTTGGCTGTGAGGCAGTCTGAGGACCAGCCATGCTTAACTTTGGGAGTAAGACCTGTGCGTTGCAGTCCAATGAGGAACTTGACGGGAGATGAACCAAGTGCGAATGTTCTCAAGACCACGTTTGTCATAGGCCAACTCAAAGCCAAGCAAGGTCCTATGCTGCTCCAACCAGGTCAGAGTAAACCACGGCAAATCACCAGGGCTAGGTGCTCCGGCAGGTGATTGTTCAGAGTCGACATGTCGCTTCTGCACATGTTACAAATGCTGTTGGTGGACAAAAGCCACGGCACGCACGAGTTGGTAGATGGTTTACCGTCAGTATCTACCGGGTTTCATTTGGTACAGGATTTTGTGATCCGCAATATTTCCCACACAGGAGTATTCAATTTATTCGTGCCGAATCCTCCTGTTGTTTGGAACGGTCAGACGCAAGCAACCAACACGCATTGATGATTGATAGTTCTTGGCGGCTTTTGACATAAAAGTGATCTTGACGCCATTGGCGGCTTTGGACATAAAGTGAGATTGACACCACTTGCAGTAGGTCTGCGTTTATCTTTGCTTCCGTTGACGTCCGTTGCATAGGCGGACCTGTGCCAATCGGCGGTGGCGTCCGTGAATACGCTGGGTCTTTGTCGCAAACAGCACCGAGCCCCTCGGTCGCTGAGATTTCCATCCGCCACGGGTGGCAAATCGCCCAGAATCCGACATGGGCGCCAAGATTTCCAATGTCAGCTGGCTTTATTTGCGATAATAAAACAAAATGAAGGAAAACCAAAAGGGACGCCAGAAGAGGGTCAATCATTGGCCTCATTTTTGTCAGTCAAGGTGGCCCATGGCGCCTCAACCGCTGTCGTTTGGTTGAAAATAGCGGGAGCTGGCAAACCTCGTTGAAACATCTACCAGGGAAACCCATCGATTATCTTCAATTGAAGAAAACATATGTAGGTATGTATTGTTCAAAGTCGTAGTAAAGGATGGTCCAGTGTGCTTTGATCTTGCAACACGAAACTCTTCCTTTTACTGTTGCTTATCATGCGCAAGTTTGGCCAAGTGTTTGAATCCGTGGCAAGGGTTCTAGAATTAATCAAGACAGAAAAGGGAGGTCATAGAAGTTAGAGCAAGACATATATGTTGTTTGTTAACATGATTGTTTGGAATTTGTAAGCACGCATTCCGTGCGATTGTAGCTCCCCATGCTTCAGTGTGTTACTGCTTCGCTGCCCAGTCCCCTTCGGCAGATTCGAGCAAACAACATCAAGCCACACCCAACGTGAGGCTTCGACCATCGTGGGCGTGTCCATCAACGTGCTGCAACAGGTTGGGACCTGCAAGAGATTGTCCATCCAACCAGGGGAAGGGCCACCTGAGCGGCGGTTTTTGTTGGCCGCAAGCTAATTTTGTAGGGGGAGGGACATTATTATTGAAAATGTGCCCCGCGCCACACGCGCGGAAGCGTGCGGAAGGCTTCGCGGAAGGGATTTGTTCGCGGAAGGTTTGCGGAAGCTTTGGGGTTTGTGTGAAATGACATGTTTCAGTGCGTGCATGGAAAACCTCGGAGAAACGATTGCAGTAGAAGAAAACGTGTTGCTGCGTACAAAAAACGCTTACTCGAAGAGCAGTTGTCAACAGCAAGCCAAAACAGCCGGCGTATTTCGCGGAAGTTTTGCGGAAGCTTCGCGGAAGCTCCACGGAAGAGTGGCCCCGTGTTTGCAGGCAAGTGGCCACGTAGCATGGGTAGCCCAATGGAGCTAGGCTTGGGCTCCACAAGCTGCGGCGAAACACTACCTCACTTAAAATGGCTTTCAAAGCGCCAATACTCGCGGAAGCAAATCTTGTAAACCATGCCCCGCGGAAGGTTTGCGGAAGCAAGCAATGAAACACATGTGCCGCGAAAGTTCGCGGAAGGGACCTTTTGGCCCGCGCCAAGGATGCGGAAGGGTCCGAGGAAGCTTGAATAATGTCCAAACAAGTTTGTAGCTACCAACGCTCACCTTGGTCTAGAGGTCAATCAGATATTTCTCATCCACAAACCGGGGTCAGAGAGTTCAGTTTGCGAAACGCACTGCTGCTTCACATCGCACGAAATCCCAGAGGCTGCTAGCAGGTTTGCCACTTTGATCTCAGCAACTTGAACAAGTCAACCACTGGCTGATGTTAATTTTCAATACTGCTCGCACGATGATCCAAGGTGCCACCTACAAAAAATCGGAACACATCGCCTCAGCAGTTCTACGTTTAGCAGGGCTCGGACTTCCCTCAGACTTTCTGGTTCACACAGCGGACTCTATTTGAGTGCAGGTCTCTGGCATCAATGTCTTCATCTACTTCGGCCCTCAGTGCCTCTGCTTGAGCTGTTGGGCATCACGTTGGTTCAGCTAGGCTCTGGTGGGACATTCTCCTGAGCCAGGATGAGCCAAATTTTCAGCTGAAAGGCGGTTTGTTGCTTGGCACTTGCGCTCCACCATAGATTTGGCGCTCCCAGGTTGATCATGGCTGTAAGCTCTCCCAGGTTGGTCCTGGGCGTCCAGCCTGGTTTTATGTGGAGAAGCCACACAATGTCTCAGAGCAGAAGCGCCGTGAGTGTCCTTTTGCGAGAAGCATCAAACATCTGGCTCTTTTCCCGATTCTGGACGCATGCCGTCCTCACCCATTTGGTCATTCTAACAGCATGAGGGCATGGACACCCTTACCCCGGCGGGTGCGTTGACCAGGATGTTGGTCATTGCCTGCAGTTGTTCCTCGTTTCAAAGTCCCCTTGCAGGCAATGGTTTCACCTTAATTAAGGATCTCTTGTGCACAATTCCAAAATTCAGGCAGGGCAAACAGTTGGCCGGCTTTTCTTCTGCTCACCTGGCGTAACCGTTCTGCTTTGCTTTTTCAGGCCATGCCCCAATTTTGTGGTTGCCCTCCACTTGGTCTCCAAGCCGTTCCCTTGGGATCCTCGTTTTCAATGTGGTCCACTCGCGGCGCCGTAACTGCTACGCGTTTTTCGAAATTGCAGCGCTCACAGAGGCCTTGTTAATCTCTTGCGCTCTGACACCTCATTTTTTGGGAAGTATGTTTGAGCGAGTCTTGGGGTAACAATTTGTTTGCGAAACCAAGCTCGTACCCACCAAAGGTGGTCCTTTGCACACACAAACTCCAAACAACGAAACAAATAAGCAAGAACCCCACCCCCTTGGTCCTGACGAATGGATTTTCATTGAGGATCCTGGACGACGCGGGATTCGGGAGCTATTCCATGATCTCCACCACCGTGGTAAGCCTCATCCAACTCGCGGCTACCGCCGCACGGGGCTCAGCCCGGAGATCTGGAGGCGGATGCAACTCCCAGATGTTGAAGTGGCAGCTGTTTTATGTGCTTTTTGTTCGTTTGGCTTGAGAAATGATCAAAGAACTAACATGGCCAACCACCAAACGCGGACCATAAGTATTAGTCTGCTGGTTTGGGGACAACAATAGGGGACAGCCCAAAGGGGAACCAGGAAATATTCCCAGTGCTTGCAAATGATATGTCCGTTCCTCATGCCAAAACAACAAAACATATTTCACCGAACAATAGTGCATATATGGCATTGCATTGCATTGCATTGCATTGCATTGCATTGCATTGCATTGCAGTACATGACATGACATCGTTGCATTACATTCATACATGTACATATTATATATATATATATATCTTTGCATATATGTATGATATTTGCCAAACAGTTCGGCCAGGGCAGTGGCGGCATGGTTTCGAAAATTGTGTGTTATGTGGTTTTCGACGCAACCCCCCTTCTGTCCTGCTCTGAATATTCCTGACACGCCACAGGGATCAAGTAGTCACCGGATGGGAATCGCACTTTGGTATCGCAGAAAACGCGATGTTCAGCAACTAATGAGAGGGGATGTCACAGAATTGCAAAGACTTTAAAATGAGTCCCATCCCTCCTTGTCGAGGGTCCTGGCCAAGCGTCATGTGATATGAATCATCAGCGATAATTGGCTTCGACACGCTTTGGTAGTTAAGCAGCGCAACAAGCCGGATACTTCCCCAACTGGCTTGTCTTCGAGCATGACTGGGTCGCAGAGCTATCGTGCCAGAAACCTATGAGCAAATGAGCAGACTGTGGCTGAACATGCTTCACACGTGCAGCATATATAATGAAAGATAACAACAAAAGATAACAAGGTGTGCGCAAACTGACTAGCATCGATTGCACATGAACAAGCTGCACAAAGGAGGAAAGGAAGCGGCTTTCCGCCTGCGACCTGCAAAGGTGCTGAGGGCTTTCAGCAGAGTTGTCGACAGTTTGCAGTATTTCCGCTTTTGGTCGCCACTTTGACCAGTTCAGAGTTTTTGCTCGCCCACCCACCCGTCCCACCAGTCCCACCTACCCATTCCCCCACCCATTCCCACCCACCCATTAGGGATCACTGTTCGCAGAGTTAGCTGAAGCCATGGCCTTGCGCTTTTGGCTTGAACGTAAGACCACATGATGGCGCGAGGAGCCGAGCGTCGGTTGCGTCTCTGCAGGCTGTTTCATGTTGTTTCCATTATTACCCACTGCAACGATTTACAAGGCCCACCCCAACACCGACGGCATTTTATCTCACACATGAAAGCAACTTCAAAGATGTGGTTGCCTTGTCTTTGTGTTTGTTCTAAAACTCCTCATAGAGCTTTCCAGTTCCCAGTTCGGACGCATTTCTTTCTGCCAAGATTGATCCAAGGCTGATGGTAACACGAGAGGCCCTGGGGTCCAAGGAGACCTTTCCCACACATATTTCGGTTGTTGGCACACAGGCTGTGGTAGAGACGGGGGGTTAAGCGCTTGTTTTTTTGTGGGTGGGAATCTTTGACAGGCGTTCTTAAACTTGAGTTGATTTCCTTTTTCTTTGGCATCCCCTCGACGTGCGCGGTCTGTGAGGTGCTCATCAGGTACATCGACCAGATCGGCCGGAGGCCGCTGGCCCTTGCCGGCATCATCGGTATGATGCTCGGTTTGACGCCCGGGCCCCAGGTGCCCAACTCGCATCACAGAAGGCCAGCGCGCCCCCCTTGGAAGTATCCGGAAAAGGATGGGGGGAAATTGTAGTTGGTTAAGTGGAACATGGCAACATGCGAAGAAGCATGCTCTTTTCAAAGAATCTATGGTAAGTGGGTGGTTTGGGCTGCACCCACCAGTGGGGGTTGCATAATAATGCCTGAAGTGACAGTCGCCATGGAACCCAGTTCATCCTATGTACTTTGTGTTGGCAAGACTGAGTACTCGATTTGGCCTCCTTCTGATGCATCTTTGGGTTCTGAGTCATTGTCGGCGGCAGGGCTGATTTGTATATGGGGCAAAAGGGCGGATGCCAGCCATTGTGTTATCCTATTTGACACGTCTGAGGTGAAATCATGATTGAAATGACAATGTCTTCCTCTGAATCAGATCACTTTGGCTTACCCTCCCCGAGACTACGGTGACGGCTTTTTAATATGTGGGGGCCGGGCCTGGGCTTCAGGGCTGGGAGGTGGTGCAAGACATCTGTTTAAATCGGATATTTAAGGTGGCTGGCCGGGCCACCCTTACGGGCCCTGGAGGTAGTATGAAATACCAATTAGGATATTTAAATGGCAACACCGAGACAGACCCCTTCCCCGTAGAAACAAGGCGTAACGCAATTCAAGCCCTTGCTAGCAGCTGCGTTGCGCTAGCTCCTGCCAATTGCGGACCAACGCTTTCGTAGTTCCATGCTACATAAATGCCTGGAATTGCGGATCCGCGGAATTGAGCTGCCTAAGCCTGGCTCGTAGAGAAAGAAAGCGAGAAAGACATGAATGCCCCTTGTCTTGGATGGGGCACACACATTGCTTTAAATTCGTGAGTCTCCTGGTTTCTTGGGATGGGGCCTGTTTTTCAACAAATCCCAGAACAACCGACTGGTTGCGGAAGATGTAATTGGCAACAAACAGCAAGCAAATTGACGGGCCGGGCCAGAGGCAGGCTTTCAAGACGTGGCGACACCGTAACATGGAAGCTCCCAGGACCCCTTTGGACGACCTGGTTCCATTCGCAGAGGCCTTCTGGGAGAATCCGGCTGTTAGGCTGAGGGAGTGCAGAGGCTTGCTACTTGTAGGAGTTGCACACACCAATGGGACAGTTCGCAGTGGTCAAGTGTCGTATGATGGTCATGTTGTTCCTGAGAAAAGCAACGTCAATGTGTTGAACCAGGCAAGGAGAGCTTTTGTCTAGCGTCGGGCTACAGACTTGAGGGCAAGATCTTGCTCCAACTCCCCCCTTATTGTAAAGAGAGAGCAACCCCATCAATCCATCAGGCAAATTGGTAGCGACAACCAGAGTCTTGGTTTGCAACCTCCAGGTGAAGGTTTCTTTCAAAGGCCTTATTGTCGTCCCCCCCTAAAGGGGTGAGGCTTGTTCTTAGCTTATCCAGGGATATCCCGTTATCCTAGGCTTATCCAGAAAAACCAAATCGCCCTGCCATGATATAGCGCTGGGTCAATCCCCCCCCCCTCTCCCCGCGGTGCCCTGCGAGGGTCCATTCTCCAGAGATGACCCTCCCCCTGGCCTCCGAGAGGTCCATGATAGAATGTTGGGTCGATTTCCTCGCATCACTTTCAACCAATTCTCAACAGCTCTCCGGGTCTCAGGCTGATGGTGACTGGCTCTCTGCTCCGGGGCGCCGGGCTGGTGATCTCAGTCACAGCACCGCGCTTAGTTTCCAGCGCACAAGCCCCAGGGTCCTTTTCGGGCGTGTCGGTTTTGGGACGAAACTTATTTTTCGTTTTAGGGAAACCATGTTCCAGATGGTTCAAGTACCTTGTGAGGTGTTCAAAAAGCGTCGAAGTATATCAGATGGTACTGGAACCCTCTGGGTAAGGAGACAGAAGATTGTGAGGGTCCTCATCTCAGCATCATGCGATATTCTGCGGCCACATGGGCCACACCATTTTCCATTCGGGAATGTACGGCTCTACATCCAACGTTGAGGCTGGGCTAGCCCAAACCTGGTGAAGTCCCATCCCGTTTAACTCGGGTGGGCAACTGGATGCTCTCAAACTGTTGGAAGCTTTTGGGGAGAATGAAATGCCCCGGGGTGCAAATACTGCATGTGGCCACCAAAAGACAGTGCCACGTGTGCACACAACTGTCCGGAGGAGTCGTTTCACGATCTCTGGAGATTTGCCCTGTTGCCTCACCCACGAACGCTCCTTTAGGGAAATCGGAATTATCTCCATGCAAGTCCTGGCAGTCCTTAGCGCTACAGCTTTTCAAGAATATGTTTTATTTTCCCTGCTGGTTTTAAAGGGAATCTATCACTACTGGAGTTTTTTTGTTTTCCAGGGGACTTCAGCAAATGGAGATTCTGGTTTCTAGTCTGGGCAGGATTGGCTTGTCAGATCCCGAGGGATCAGGTGTCGAACCAGAAAGTTTGCGACTTGTCTCGCCCCTTTGGTCCTTGGGCTCCCTCCCATTCTTGAGGTATCCCAACTTCATTGATTCATCGCGCACAGGAAATGCCTTGGCAGATATCGAGTTCTGAGTGCACTTCAAGGCGCAAAAAGAGCCCAATGGGTGTGTCTTCTTTTGGAGAGTACCCCCATTTGAGTGGTTAAAGGGAAAGCAAAAGGAAGCCACACTTTTGTTTGGGAGTCGCCCCGAAAAAAGTCACACACACCAATCTCAACCGAGAGGAGTTTGAGTGCTCCATCCGAATCGATCTCGATCTCTTCCGACCGAGGCCTGGTTCTCCTTGCTGGGCATGCTCTTTTTTCGGGCTGCCTTCTCTTTATCGCTGGGCCCGTGGGGGCCTCACTCGATTCAAAGACTTGCAGGGTCAATCCAAAAGACTTGATGCAAGTGGCGCCTCGAAATGTGTGACCCCCCCCTAAAGGAATAGCTTTAGTTTCCGTTTAGGGAAATCGAAACCCTCGAAAACCCCGCATGGAATACGTTGCCTGGCAAATGGAAAGCCCTATCTATCAAAGGAGCAAGCTTGATCAACTGCAATGCCGCTTTCGCTACCCGTGTTCTGCTGTTCAATTGGGTTTGCTTGGCATGAAGGCACCCTGCATGAAGCCTGACCCGACAGTCAGAAGGTTTCGGCAAGGGGCGCGGGACTGAATGTCCGGCACCGCGGAACTTCGACAAAGTTTCTTGGAAGTTAGGCAAAAACTGCATGTGATTTCAGGAGCTGATTCGGAACTTCGACAAGTTCTGCGGAACCGTTTTGAGACTTGTTGAGTTTGCCCCACAGCCTCGAAGAACCATTCGAACTTTTGCGGAGCCCTCCCAAGAACCCTTTTTTCTCGAGACTTTGTCCGCGGAATAGCTGTCCAGGATGCCCACCCCTCCCATTTCTGTCTGAGACAGAAGCCTATAAACGATGGCATTACGAATGACATGTTGATTTCTCAAGCAGTGCAACAAAAAGTGGCGGTAGGGTCGAAGGAGTTGCACTAATCATGACGGTGTGGGTCTCAAAAAGCAGGGAATTACCTAGGGGTTGTTGAGGATGGTCATCCGTCCGTAGAAACTTCCAGGTTCCCAAGAGAAGTGTGACCCCCGGCCTTCGTACGTGATACATCGGCTGGGGTCAGGACACCAGGGCTCACTCAAGCCGCCTTGCTGAATGGCGAGTTTGTTCGCAGCATGCCGCATGCCAACCAAAGATAAGGCCTTCAAAAGCTAAGCAAAGAGCACGCTCACATGACACATGGGTGTTTTTGCAGACGAGTAGAGGAGGTGCAATCAGGCTGGGATGTACCCTCCTAAACAATTTCTGTACCCTCTGCTGAATTCATGATAATCAGCTTCAATAGGAACTCAAACTCTAGCTTAATCTACATTCAAATCCGCCGCATTGAAATTCGTAAAGCACCCGCCAAAACTGGGTGGATCTTTAATAACATCTTGTTACAAGTGCCCTCCGATTTGCTGTTGGTAGAAAGTAATTGATTATACTTGATTCCTTGGGTTGAGCATGGGATTTCCATGCGATTCCGTTTGCCAATGTTTGATCTGCGATCTTCCTGGAGACGTTTTTTCGCAGGCTGCCCTACGTCATGACCTCAGAGTTCTTTGCCCAGGAGGCCCGCGCTGCAGGCGGGGGCTTTCGTCGGGACCTGGTTTCTGTGCTTTGAAGAACCAGACTGGCACCCGGCAATTCACAGGGATGTGGCCTAGAACATTCACATCAAGGTATTGTGGTTGCATGTTGGATGCACATATCTCCAAGTTTGGCATTGCAGCAGTTCTCTCCAAGGTACAGAAGCCATGCACAGAACCTCTGGAGCATGTTTGAAGCTAGATGTGAAGCAAGCACCGCGCAAAACGAGCAGACACGCGCTGAAAAATCTCGGTTGAGAGGCATCAATGTTGATATCCAAGCAGGGTCAACTGATCCAACAACATTGCTAGATTCGCTCATAGATTCGCTCACATGTGTCAGGAATTATTTCGAGCCTGCAGGAAGCCGCCCAGAGTCTCAAGCCCTCAAGGTGTCAAGCGTGGGTACGTTTTTTGCTCAGGGTCTTTGGGTTTTGATGGTGTTAAAGGGAATCCAGAAGGAACAGCGAAATCCTTTGGTGGTCCCCCTATTTGTAAGACAAGCTCAAAGTTAACACTCCCTCTTGGATCTTGGCCACGGGAGTGAGAGACTGTGCGGAGAATGCCACCCGTCCATGAGCCGCTTTACATGAGCATACATAGTAGGTGTATGTATGTATATATATATAGCATATGGGTGTTTTTTATTTAAAAAAATGCGGGGGCACCCAAAATAGTGGTGCGTCCCCTTGGTTTCCTTTTTAACACCACCAAAAAGGGAATCTGGGATACCTCCACAAAAAAGACTCACCCCTACAGGCTAATATGATTATTTAGGCTGCCGTCGTTTTCTCCGAAGTCTTTATCCAAGGTGTCGGTTCGCGTCGACTGAGGCGTAGGCTTTTGCTGGGCCATGAACTGGCTAGCGAACTTCGGGGTGTCGCTGTCATTCCCAGTCCTGGCAGAGGCGCAAAGATGCCCGGTGTCTTCTGGGGGGTGGTTTTTCCTCAGACCGTTTTCTGGGGTCTCCTCCGAAACCGCTCCAAGAGGCCCAATAATTGGTAATTACCACTTTTTTGAGCCACAGCCAGATATGAAGCAGACGCAGAATAAATATGTGTTTCAACTGTGTTTCTATGTACCCCCAATGGCCAAGGCTTTGAGGTTACCGGGACAAAAAAGCAAGGGGCCAATTCATTGTCCCCAACAGTTGGAGCTATAGGGTCGATCACAAAGCTCTGGGGAAGAGCAGCTTCAAGGGAGGTTCCGTCCCAAACTGGAGGGTGCACATGTGTTTCCGACGTCGATGTCCACCAAAGATTCCCCACTTAAGTTCACCCAGTTGCCAAGCTGTGAGAGAGACCAGGCATGCAGCTTCAATCGATTCGCCCTTCTCAAGAAGGGCCCCCCGATGTGGGAGAAACCCCATGAGGAAATGGGTAGTCTCCGTTGTCCGATACAGACAGCATGACCAAGGGAGAGGTTGAACGTCTCGTTTGCCCGCTTTCAGGATGTAGCTGGTGCTCCCAATGACACATGGCTGAGGCTTTGGGGAACTGAGATAGAGCTCTACTGGCACGTTTCAGAAAGCTTGCAGCAGACATGGTCGCAGTTCCGAGTTCGGTTTCTGCTTGGACTCGCGCTTTCGGCTCTTGAGGCAAGCAGATGTCCCTTGGCCCCGAGTGAGTTTCTTGGCACCATGTCCCGTGAGTTGCGTGAAACAACATTTGCCCTGGCATGGAACCCGAGGGCTCGTCGAAACTCAGGTTCTGTTGATGATGGGTCCAAGAGGTATTGCTCTACTCCATTGACCTGATGTATTCCACCTGTTTGAGCAAGCTGCTCACATTCAGAACTTAGCCCCCCAAAAAAGGACTCAAACTTCGGGCCACTGGGTGCTGGTCAACACTTGTGCAGCTGCATGTGAGCAAAACAGTACTCGGGCTGTGGATCCTACCTTGTTGAACATAACTTGACTTATCTCCTCCAGCCCCTTGTGCAATTAGGCTTCCCCCGGATGAACCAATCAAAAGGGGGAGCATTTCTGTTCGGTCGCTTGGTGCAGGCCATTCCAGGCTCTGATGGGCAAGCGCTGATCTTCGGCCCGGGCCTTGATCGTGCGGGAGGGAATTTCTGGCTGGAAAGGGCGAGCGTGTCGAATCTGGGAAGCCACTGGCGACCAGAGCTCAAACAAGAACCAAGATGAAACCGCCTAGGTGCCCAATGTAAGATGCATACGTTTTCGGCCCAAAAATCCACAACCACACGGCCACACCACTGCGCAACCAAACACCCACAAGCGCGCAAAAACATGACTGCGCACAAAAACAAACACACACACACACACACAACACGCACACGCACGCGCAGACGCACGCGCGCTCGCACACACACACAGACACACAGACACACAGACACAGAGACGCACAGACACACAGACACACAGACACACAGACACACACACACACAAGCACACACACACAGACACACACAGACACACACACACACACAGACACACAGACACACAGACACACAGACACAGAGACACAGACACAGACACAGACACAGACACAGACACAGACACAGACACAGACACAGACACAGACACAGACACAGACACAGACACAGACACAGACACAGACACAGACACAGACACAGACACAGACACAGACACAGACACAGACACAGACACACACACACACACACACACACACACACACACACACACACACACACACACACACACACACACACACACACACACACACACACACACACACACACACACACACACACTTCGCGCACGCGCACACGCACGTGCACACACACACACACCACGCACCAACGCACCAACACACGCACGCACGCACGCACGCGCGATCACAAACATGCACCAACTACACAACTACTCAACGACACAACTACACAACGACACAACCACACAACTGCACAACTACACAAATAGACAACTGCATCAAGACAACCGAATAGCACGCAAACATACAAGTTAGACCAAAACTTAGCTTCTATCTCTGTGGAGGTCAAAACCGGCCAATAGTGATGTAACAAACCACGTCACTCTTCATGTAAGTATTCATGTAAACAAAAACAGGCCTTAAAGAAACACGTAAAAGATCATGTAAACAATGTGTGCCTCAGTGTTGGAAGCTGGAAGCTGCATCATTTGCCATGTAACAGGCCTGAACAGACAGAAAAGGCGCACAATCAGACAAGCCCATGGCAAAACATTGGCAAAAAGAAGGTAAGGCTCCAACGCGCCCCTCCCATCTCCATAACAAGCGCCCAAGGTGTTGATTGAATGATCTTTGTTAAATCCTTAGCAGCTACCGTGCGAATGTTAGGAGGCTAAACATCTTAGGTCTGAAACACGTGGTTGGTAAGCCTAAGCATGCGTGAGCAGAAGCAAGGGCAATTCCTGAGCATGCTGTTGCAATCTTAGGAATGGTTCCTAGGTTCGAACGGTTCAGAACAGTTCAGGGTATGATGTTGCAATCCCTCCTGAACGGTTCAGCACGGTTCAGGGCATGCTGCTTGCAATTCTTCCTGAACGGTTCAGAACGGTTCAGGGTATGCTGCTGCCATGACTGCTGAACGGTTCAGAACGGTTGCAATCCCTCCTGAACGGTTCAGAACGGTTCCTGGGAAGCTTGAGTGACGAACGGTTCAGAACGGTTCTGAACTATACGCCTGCTCTGCGCGCTGCTTGCTAGATGGGCTCCAGAACGGTTCAGAACGGTTCAGGGGCATGGGTTCCAATGCCTCCGGAACGGTTCAGAACGGTTCAGGGGCACGCGTTCCAATGCTTTCGGAACGGTTCAGAACGGTTCAGGGGCATGCAGTTTGGTTGCCACCGTTCCTCGGAACGGTTCGCGAGCACGCGGCTGGCGGTTCCTAGTCCTAGGTAAAAGGTCAGGCCGGCATCGGAACATCGAAAGCGATCCGAAATCTCAAAGCACAAAAAGGCAAAGACTTGTCTGAATTTACGCGAAAATTTACGCAACCATTTACGCAGAAAAAGGCTGGCTGAACCGTTCTGAACCGTTCAGGGGACACATTTTGAGCATGGAGGTCCGTCCGCAGAACTTGCGTGCACATGTGACAGCATCGATCGCTCCTCTTTTCCGGCCTTTGCTCAACTGGGTTTCTGGAATCGGTTCTTGGATTCCCTGGGTCTTGCGGACAAACGAGGCGAAGCCGCGGCAAAGAGAAAAAAAACAAAAAAACAACGCGCGACAGTACCACAACGCGGCAAGCAAAGCTGCAAGAAGGCAAGGCTTAAACTCGTCCTTTGCAACTCCTGACTGGTCGGATCAGCGGCCACGCGGAGACAACCTCGTAGAGTCGTGTGTGCCTGTGTGTTTGTGTGTGTGGGTGGTGTCTCTGTGTCTGTGCGCCAGGTGCATGTTAGGAATATAGACGTTAATCTTGATGTTCTTCAAGATTGGCCCTCGCAAGGTCGCCCAACAAAAAGCTGACTAAGTCTTGATTGTTGGAAAGAGCCCTCAAAATATTCTTAATGTTGTTCACGCAGCTGACATAACCAATGACCGGACATACCGGACGTTCTTTGACAAGACGCAGTGTTCCTAGTCCTCGGTTCCTACAACATCTCCTTTCTCATGATCACTAAACACAAATTGACATGTATCTTGGTGGGGGTTCTGGCTGCCTATTAGCATGGCAACGCAACCCAAGCGCAAGCATGGGCGCAGGCGTTTTTGCGTCCGGAGCTTTTTGGCTTTGCCAACGCGACACATGCTCGCGAGCAAAAACTGTGGCTCGCAGCTACCAGTACGCATGAACATTCATGTCAAAGTTGTCGCGGCTCTTCCAATGGTTCATGACTCATGACGCTTTGCCTTCCTTCAGTGATATGAGCAGGTTAAATTCGCGAAGGGGAAGATTCTCGCCAATACACATCACTGTCCATGAGGGACACTAAGTCCAGCTCACGCAGGGTCACTCAAAATCGGGCAAGCGAAAATGAATTACAACTAATTTACCTCACTATTTACCATATTATTTACGGACTCTTCCTGTTAAGGGCCAGGCCAACCAGAAAGCTTGATTTATTTACGTGATTGTTTACGCTTTTATTTTCGGGTACGGCGAAAACGACAGACCCCCCTATTTATAGAGGCTAAGTTTTGGCTTAACATACAAGCACTCCAGCAAACAAACACAAAAACATTCAATCAATCAGACAAGCAAGCACACGAACAAACAAGCAAACTAACAAACAAGCCAAACCAACAAACAAACAAGCAGACAAACGGACAATTAATCAAGCAAATAACGACAAACAAACAAACAAACAAACAAACAAACAATCAAACGAACAAACAAACAAACAAACAAAGAATGAAGCAAACAAACACACAAACAAACAAACAAGCAATCAAACGAACAAATAAAGAAAGAAAGAAGCAAACAAACAAACAAACAAACAAACAATAAAACAAACAAACAATCAGACAACACTGACACAAGCATACACTCACTCACGCGAGTGTTGCAAGCATCTCGTTCATTGGATGAAACTGGCCGCGAGCAGAGCGATTCCTTGAAGACCTCGTAAAGCAAACACATGTCACGTTTTGCGGAGAAGCTTGTGAATCGAATCACACAGCAAATTGCATAGTGTGGCCAACACGACGTGGCGCTTGGCGGCTTTTCTTGTGAGTCCAAGTTCGATAATTCTCTTGGATCAGTGACTGAGAAAGGGGGCAGATATGTTACAAATGTTAGTGCACAGTCAATCCCACCCCCTTCCACCTGCGGCCATCACCTAGAAATCTATCACCTTGCGCTGATATTGTTTTTTATCGGACCCCACCCCCCCCCCCCCCCCCACACCCCCGCAAAATGGCTAAAGGGTTTTCGTCTTGGTTTCCCTTCAAAACCACAGAAATTCGGGAGCAACTCAAAACAAAAGAGACCCACCTCAGGCATCTATATGTTCTTCTGCGTCGTCGCCTTGGCGCCTTGGCCATTCAACATGGGAGCTCGTCTTCGTCATGCGTGGCGGAGAAACGAATCCGAGAGTGCATTTTATGACTTGCACCTGCTATAGTGTACTGGTATACGTGTACATAGAATTACATATATATATATATATATATATATTTATTTGTGTACATAATATATATATATATGTTATAGGGGAACACCAGTCGTCTGTCGTCATGACGGGGAGTCCAGACATGCTTGGACTGGGATTCTGTCCAATGGACCTCTCGATGGTTCCAATTGCCGCTTCCACCACATCTTCAGTCAGTGTTGGGATATGTGTTGCATTTGACTGGCGTTCAGACGCTATCTAACCCTTGCATAAACGTCTCACAGCACGGCAAAACACCGAAAAAAACACAATTTCATAGCCAGGAAGGAATCTATCCCTCACGAATGCTGTAGTGATGGCTTCGAGTGAGAGGACGGGACAGATGTTGCCCCGGCGGAGGCAAGGGATGTCTTAGCTCGATTCAATCATACTGAACCTACCAAAACAAATCCTGGCAATGAGATACCAGTGCTTCAGGAAAGGAAGCCCCGCAATACCCTCGCCAATGATTAGCGGATGGAGGATATTGAGAGATTTTGACCCACAATTTGTCGGCGGTTTTTGGACTAAGAAGGTTACCAACCAGAACAAGGATTCAGCAAGTTACGGATTGGGACTAGGCCCCCGAGGTTTCGAAGAGGCTGGAAATAAGACACCTGTGCAAGTTAGACCAGACTTTCAGCAGCAATGCGGAGCGTGCAGGAAAATTCCATGACGGTCAATGTAGGCCCTCCGGATGCCCACAAAACCATCTAGGCTCCGACCAGAGTGAAGACATGCCGCATCAGGTTCAGCAAGCTATACGTTTGATAGGCTAGGAGGTGATATTGAGCAGTCTTGTCCAGTTCTCCGCTTGTTTCAAGCAAGTGTGTGTGTGTAGAAGTTGCGGTGTCTCGTTGCTTTGCTCGTTGCCATTTCAATGACATGTCCAGCCTCATATGAGAACAATCATCTCTCGCATGCGTTGTTGCTCCATGTGACTGTTCAGTATGTCCGAGAGCCAGCAGTTTAGAGGCCACCGCATTGCAACGCTGCTGGCCTCGACAGGAAACAGCCCGATGTCGCTTTCTAAGCTTCACTAACACTCAACAGTTTGTTCCGTGGTTTGCCCCTTGTTGCAAGATGTCGTTATGTCGTCGCTGTGCGCATGTTCATCAAAGCTGGTTTCGTGCCACCAGGCTTCCATCCTTGTTTGCTACATTGATAAACTGATTAAACCCTTCTCAGCAATTGATCACTTCGTCTTTGAATAATGTGCATGCTCATAACGATATTGTTGTGTGTGTGTGGGCATCAAGTTGAGAGGCAAGCGTTTCCGCTCTGAACGGGAAGGAGCAATTCTGAGCGTGACTTTGCATCTTTGAAATCCGTAGCTTCACGGAGATGCCCAGAGGGGAATTCTGGAGGCTTGCCCGTGCTGAACCAGAAGACCATGCTGAACCCGGCTTTATGGAGGGCCCCTCGCTGTAGACGCCTCAATGAATCAAAATGAATCAAATGAATGTAAGATTGAAAAGAAGCAAGGTCTTCGCTCAAGTGTTTGCATCCATCATGCGAGCAGACTGACGCATCACAGCTGTTGTCGTTTCGGTTTTTTGCAAGAGTTGCGGTGTACCAGTAGCCTTTGTTCGCACATGTTCCGAACAGGTGGGAGTTTTTAGCGTGGACCTGACAAAGTACCAACAGAAAATATCGGACGACCCCTGGTTGAGCCAGGAAAAGAACCACTGCCGGAACCCGGGTCCCGGGCCACATTGCGTTGGTCTCTGCGCGTTTTTCAAGAGGATCGGGCAAATTTGAGACGCGCGGAACATTTCCGCCCGAGGTCTTTGTTCTTCTGCTTCTGCCGGAGACCAACGGTGTCTCCCTAGAGGCGCCTTGGAAGAAACAGACTCGACTTCGCATCCGAGGGTATCCTTCATAGGCGTCGATTTTAGATGGCACTGGTTTAGGTACGGTTGCTATTGTTGTTGCTGTTTTTCTCTACCGATCTACCAGGGCAATCGATTTGTCCAACAGGTCACATCTGGCAAGTGGTTGGGGGGGAGGGGTGGGCGGGTGTGTCGCTAGGTGGGTGAAAGTTATGGGTTTTGCAGCTGCTCAGGTTGTTTCTTTCTGCCCGCTGGGCAGCTTGGACTGTGAGAGATCCAATGCCAAATTCAGGGAGAACTTGGAAATGCATGTGCAATAAGTTTGACACCCCAAAATGAAAGAGAGCGGCG